GACGAGATTTCAGATGAACAATTTTCTGTTCTACATTATCAATTTATTCTTTCGAACAGAATCATTCCATTTTCAGTACCGCAATTTTCACTTTTAAAACGCGCTTATCTCGCAATTCGTTCGTCGTTCGACCCCAGCAAAGGGCAACCAAATTATTGCTAACGAATAGACACGCTACGTCATGCTGGAGAAAACTCTATTTTTGAAGTATTATAGTTCGTTTTAGTTTCACAACTCTTCCAGCTTTGCGGCATTTATCGACTCGAATTGGAAACGTTTTCTATGACACGGCGGAGTGAACGAACACTCCAATTACGACAATATGACGCACATAATTTTATAGTACGTTTCGATGTTGAATTAGTGATCGAATAATTCTAATAAATAATACTATTAGACTCTTTTCAGAGGCCGCATGTTTTCTGTTGCGCAAGCTCTTCGGAAAGCCTCGGGTCATCTCACAAATAATATCCGTTTTCGCTGTCGGCCTTTCTTACCGAATACTGGAACACTTTTATTTCTCGTCGTTCATTGTTTCGCTGTAAACAATTCAACGACGATTTCGAATGATCGACGAAATTTTCGTTACTCGAAACACGATGCAACATGGATGCAGTACAAAGTCCCGATTAAAACCAGCAGCTTTTTATCTTAAAGCTGTCTGCGTGCTGGTCGACGTAACGCGTTCGAACATTAATTAGCATTCACTAATTATAAACGTGTCGTGCTGTCGTCACTTTTCAAATTGCTATCGGAAATGATATAAATGTTGCAATCAAATTCGAGAGAATTATCTTGAAAACAATGGTCGACCCCATGTTATAAACAAATGTTAATACGCGGAGTGTTTCGCTGAAATATCTCGCTTATTGTTGATAATTCACAAAAACGTCGGAGGAAAACGAAAACAAGTTTTCGTCGTATTTTTCCAAATTTCACGGATGACTTTTCCAAACTGCACAGTTTAATTAAATATCCTGGCCTTTTCGTACTGCCTTGAGTATAACAAAAAGAAACGAGTATAATTAAAGCAATAATATTACAAATGATGCCCGTTAACTTCGACAACTGAACAAATGATTAACGAACGTCCATTAACCACGATAACCAACCGAATGCTCGCTTTGATAAAAAAAGAAGTAATCTAATTTTATGACATTTTTGTGCTCGTCGGCATAGCAATCGAGGCATTAATTATTGGTACTCAGGATGGTAACAAGGTCACTTGCCCTTCCATCGAAAAGAAGTACCAACTACCTAGAAAAAAAAATCCTCAGAAATGTGACCTCAAGAATGATTTCTCAACTGCAACATTTATAATCACGTTCTAATCAATTCAAAATTTATAATCACGCTTCCCCGCTCTTATCAACTATCAATAACGAGTGGCGTGTTCAAAGTGTTCAAGCAGTATTTCGCAGGAAAGATGACAGTAGAAAATCGGCATTTTATTCCTGGCATAATCCGACCCCTGCCGATAGCGTGTGTCCGTAAATCGCACTCGTATAAAGCAAAGAATTCTCGTGGCAACGAGAGCCTAGACTTAGCCGTTCGTATTCGATCGTCGGTGAATCGAACCGACTCGCTCGATCTGGATAGAAGATCGTCCGATGCGAGCTAGAACATCGTTCGATGCGTGCCGAAAGAGACCTTTCGACGCAAGCTAAAAGATCGTTCGATGCGAAATGAAGGATCGTTCGACGCGAGCTAAAGAGCTTGCTCGTTGCAAAGTGAAAAAATAGTCTGTTCGACGCAAGCTAGAAGCTCGCTCGACGCAACGTAGAAAATCATTCGACGCAGGCCGAAGGATCGTCCGATCAAGGTAGAGATCGTTCGGTCGAGATAGAAGATCGAAGATATCCGATCGCGAGGAGCACACAGTATTAGTATCAGCGGCAGCGATGCACGATGCACGGCTGCGAATGCAAGTGAACGAATCACGGTAGTTTGCGAGCCTAATCACTTGCGGCATGCGGAGAATGTCGTTCGCTCTCCCGCGACCGAGGGAGAGGATTACAGAGAGAATTAGAAGGAAAGAGAGAGAGAGAGAGAGAGAAAGAGAAAAAGAGAGAGAGAAAGTGAGCGAGAGAGAGCGAGAGTGTGTGAATGAGAGAGAAAAAGAAAGAGAGAGAGAGAGCGAGTGAGAGAGAAAGAGAGCAGCACGAGGAACACGAAATTGTACAGTGTAGTATAATATCGGCGCGAACTTATGGTTCGGACGCGAACGTATGGTTCCGGTTCGGCCTCGAGAAGAATCTCCCTTTCCTCCCACGTTTGCACCCTAATCAGAAACGAGAGGAACGACACAGAAGAGTCGGAAACGGAAAAAAAAGGGAAAAACAAGCAGACACAGGACACACTCGCACACACAACAGAGAACACAGAGACACACACACACACGAACATACGTAGCGTTAAATTGCGAGAGACACACATAGTTCGAGTAAGGATAACGCAGGATAAGCGATAAAACGCGGAGCTTTCGTGTAGCCGAAGCTCTTCGTTAGCGGTGTTCGACGTTTATGCGAGTAAAGCATACATTATATTTGTGAACGTGCACAGCCCGGTTACAATGGACGTGCTCGACCGCGGCTCCGCGGGACTAAACGAGCATTAATTTCGCCCGCACGCGTAATAATTACTGCGTGCGCCGTTTGTGTATACGTGTGCGTGTACAAACGTGTATACATTATATACATAATATATATGTATGTATATGAACGCGGATATCGGATCGTGTCGTGTACACACATATAGAGACGTGCATGATAGAGAGAGCGAGAGAGAAGCATAAAAGAAAAAGGTATGCGGAACAGCATATATATATAATATATATGTATATGTATATATATATATATATATATATATATGTATGTATATATGATTTTTAATTGATTTTCGTTGCGTGCGTATGCGTGAGTGGATTGTAAAACGTGGCGCGCTTGGTAATTAACGAGAGAAAGCCTGCAGAGAAGAATAACGACGACGGAACTCTTGCGTATATGAAATAACTCTGAGTCTTTAACAGAAGATTTTGTTTTACATTGTCCCAATTAATAAACAGAATGTGCATGTGCCTGTATCCTTTGCTTCTATACGATGCCCTTCGATCGAAGTATTCTTCAACGCTTCACATATCTTGTAGTGGACAAATTATATATATAGATATATACCGCTTTGCATTTTGCCTCAGGCTGCGATCCGACGACCATTCTTTTTTACGACTAATGTTCTCTGCGACAAACACCACCAGTCTTCTTCTTCTTCTTCTTTTTCTTCTTCTACTTCTCCTTCTTCTTCTATATCTATTTTGTTTTGTACTTCTTCTACATTCGTTCTGTTCTGTTCACGGTGCGAGAAGGAGACGCGGACTTCGTCGCTGCTGCTGCCATCTGGGACAGTTTGCTTCCGAGATTGTCCGCTGGGTGTCCAGCGAGACTTCAGCGCCGCCGATGAGACGGTATACAGTAATTTTTCCCTAATTAGCGCTCGGATCGCGCACAAAAGTGGATAATTTGGGAGGAGGAGATACGATTATTCGAGCGCTGCGTCTCGTTTTTATAGTTGTCGACGATCGGTTAGTATAAAAACGAGCCGCGAGACTAATAATAATCGTGTCTCGTAATTACTGTTACTTGCAGAAATGTAATTGGAAAAAGTAACGCGTCGATGTCTCACCAGCGCCGCTCGCGGGAACTCGTGGAAGCAAACTTGTAAACGCGGAAGCAGCGCGAGAGAAATTTTGCGGCGCGTGGCGAGAGAACCGCGGGTCCGCCTCTCCTTCCGACACACCGTGGTTCTGTTCGTTTGTTCGTTGTTTCATTTCTCTCCTGGTTCTCCACTTTGTTTAACCACGAACGAACGCGAACTCGCTCTCTGCTCCTTCCGCGAACAATCGATTCTAACACGACCGACAACAAGAACAACCGAAAAGAGAGAAATTAACAGACGTGTTGATTTGCTGTAACCACAACGATAAATAACACAGTTGATTGCCGGTACGTCCTGCGCCATCGTTTTGTTCGTTGTACATTATTACATTCTTCCGCGTGTTTCTTCGGGCTCGATCGAGAGCTCCCTTTCTTTCTCTTCTCCCTTTTGCCTAACACGCCCCTTCGGTTGTACTTCTGCCTCGCTCGTCGGCCGTTTCTTTCCATCCGTCGGGGCATTCGCCGGGAGACGAGTCATCGTAGTCTCGTAGCTTGTAAAATCAGCCAGAAATTTGCAGTTTTTATGCATTTCAGTACATATTTTAATGAAGGAAGTATGCGATATTTGAGATTGAAGAACAATGCTTTTCCAAAAAGCGACGAATTCGGTGAGAACAAAGAGAAGCAGAACAGTTCATTATACAAAATAGTGCACTTCATTACACAGAAATTCGACGCAAAATGAAATGAAATAAATAGTAAATTTTTATTTTAATTTAAACAATATTTACAAATCGCGTATGATAAATGATTCAATCAGTACAATGAATATTATATATAATTATTTTGAAAGCGACCTTTGCAGGCCTGATTATAATTATGAAACCCTGACGAATCAGTCTTTTCCTCTAAAATGTCTTTTGCTGAATAAACAAAAATACACGTCATCTCTTTCAATACGTTCTCGAACATATTTCATTCGTTATCATGTCAACTCCTAAGTATAAAATCTGAAAATTCGGCGACGGTTTTCTAGTTACGAGACGAATCGCACTATCAATGAGAAAAGATATGTATACATACATAATCAGATTACATATGTATAGTTGCATATAAAGATTTCGTTCAGCGTCGATCAGAGTTTCCGTAGAGAAAACGCAGAGCCTGGCAGGATACAATGTCGCTGCGAATGACGATGTAGAGGGCGTCTAACGAACATTCCTCAGTAATACGAACATGACTATTGAAAAAAAAAGATAATGATAATAACAATAAAAAACCGGCGTACTCGATACCAATTAATCGTCAGGTGATAACAACGAATCTGACACGGTTTCCTCTACCTTTCAGGGTACAGCAGGATTAGACGGCATGAAGGTGAGCAATCCTCGGGGCGACCCGTTTAATCGTACCTCTTATATTTACGAAATTCGGATCGGCCATTTCTACGCTCCACCCGTTGAGCTCGTACTTCGGGCGTAGATTAGAAACTGGCTGAGAGTTTCACGGTATATTATTGCCGCGACCGATACTAGCCCTGGCGAACGGTGCTCGGTCGAACGCTTCGAACCGGCTGGAAACGAACTAAAAACTGGCCGGAAACAATTTCACTGGTCGGTCAATTTCAAAAATTGGCCGAAAGCCGGATCAGACGCGGCTAGTCATTTAGGGGAGCGCCGAATGGTTTGCTAACTTATTCTGTGTTGAGAGCAGGTTACTCGACGCTTTATCTAGCGGCAGTTTTTTTATAGTTTTTTTGAAGTCGAAGATCAACTGTTCGGAGCTTAAAAATTATGCAAAAGCTACTGTAATCTCATCCTTGATCAATTAAGTTATTCAGATTAACGTTTATGTGACAAGTTTTTTTGGAACTGTTTAGAAGAAAATGATCCAGCTTCTTAGAGTAGTTCAATTGTTGAAAAGCCTGTTAATAGGCTTCCGGTAAATAAAGTGTTAAATAATTTACGCGAACACTAATCAAGTAATAATTTAGTCGACACTTCTCTAGGCATGCTACTCTATTGAATCGGCCTTAAAAGCTGGCTAAAAAAGCGGCTGTAGACCTTTTAAAAACTCTCTAAAGCTGGCTAAAAGGTTTCTAAAAACTGGCCAAAAGCTTTCTAAAACTTGATCGAATAATTTTTAAAAACTGGCTCTGAAAATTTGCAAATCGTGCCACGAGAGGAGAATCCAGTATTCTTTAAATTACCGGTCGAATTTCGAGTTCGCCGAGTGACAGTTACGATAGAGGTAGTACATATTCTCATAATGTCTTCACAATATTGTATTTCAATCTTATTTTACAGCAACAGCTTAATTTTCCATATATTGTATAATTTTCCATTAAATTCCATTTTTACTATCTCATACATTAGCAAAAAGTAAAATACAATAAATCGTTCATCTAGAATCATGTGCTGATTTGTAATATAATGTTTTTGCACTTTTTATTTGTCGTCTATCGTGATCCCGATATACCAGTTGTTTTTACGAGAATAACCGTAGCAATAAAGTGCAATAAAAATTATAAAAACATTTTTCGTTGAATTTTTTATAAAAAAAAATACATATATGTTTATATATATGTTATTCTGTTCTAAATGCATCAAATTTGCAATTTAATGATAATAAACGAAAGTCTCTGTTGTTTCGCTATTATTTGCTATCATGTATCTCGGCTCTCTCAAATATTGCAGTGTTCCGTAGCTGTAAAATATCGCTCCGCGTTTAGGTAGTTTCATGTCATCGTACTCGACCATGAACTGTTTGTCAGAGCTAGTATCATATGCAGTGCAGTATTCGTTATGATCGTTCGTATTTACAGGGTGCACAAGGGGAACCAGGCGCGAAGGGAGAAGTAGGGGAATCTGGACTACCTGTGAGTGTTCTACGCTATTGAAAAATTATTGTACGCAATCGTTTCGGAAAATAAGTTATCAACGCTGTAACGTTCTATTCGACGAAATCAATATATAATTACATTTTATTTGGTACCCTTTAATTTTTATTCTACTTTTTATACTAAATACTTGTTCGATTTTCCGATAAAAAGTTTGATGTCATTTTAACAATTCCTTCAACGATTAATGTAACGAGCAAATATATCGCTGTTCCATTGTTATTGCAAATTCAAATGAGGCTTGAAGAAACCGTTGATTTATTTTGCGAAGCGAAAAGAATATCAAGTAAATATATATATAATTATATAATACGCAATGCAATTAAAAAGAACGAGCATATTGAACTGTTTATTACCACGATTGCATTTCAAATGAATTCTTCAAAATAAATTAACACTCGGACGGCGGGGCTCGGGTCCACTCAGACCCAGGGAATAAATATTGTCATTCGACTATCTGCTTTTCGACGGTTCGCTGACATTTTCTCACGTTTCGTTATGGTTTATAAAAGAACTGTTCAGATAGAGTGCGTTGAAAAATACAGTCGAAGAAACGACGAAGGATCCTGAGAACCGACATCGCTGCCACGATTTTTCTTCGAAATTTCGACTCGCGAAACAACTTGCTCGATGATTGTCCGAACGAAAATCGTGAAAACGATACGTCGATGTATCTAATTTCTCGCCGCATTTGAAATTCATCAAATTTGTAACGAACCGATGGAGCCGGGCATTCGCGTTGCCATACATACTCTTTTGCACGGCGTCAGACAATTCTCGTTCGCACTACAACCAGAACTCCGTTGAATATAAATTCCTTTTCCAATTCGCATCGGCGGTATAGAGTAACGAAATCATACTCGCCGTCGCAGCACGAAAATTCCACCGTGTGGAAATCGAATCACCATCGCTTCAAATGTATCGACGGTTTTTTAGGAGCAAAAGTTTTACGTACCGTTCTGTCCGTACGTCGGCGGAAACAATGTACAAAAATTTTTCGGCGGTGCAATGTTTCTCGATCGCTTCGAAAATCCGATACGCTCTAGTTAACGTTTAAAAGAGAACGCTGTCGAAGCTTACGGTTAAACATTTGTATAAACGTGGTTCCAGGGACTAGTTTGTAATCAACGGAACTGTTGATTGTGCGTGCGAACATGCGAACGGCTCGCCTAGAACGTTATTATGCGAGACACTAAATAGGAAATTAATTAAATTTCGAGATCTTATAATGTTCGACTATTAGAGGCTGTCATGGATGAAATTTCGATTCGTGCGAATTTTATACGAAATTCTGGATGCTATTGAATCTTTATATCATTTTTATGTATTTTTTTCTGATTATTTTATCGTCTGCAAATTCTCACGGAAATGCACGATAAAATGAATACGAAGCATCGCTTCAAATTCAGCCATTCTTCGGCCTGCTATCGATCGGAACTTATCGATTTCCGGACACGATTTCGAATTTTTCTTCCAACCAAAATGAGTCTATCACGAAGTACGCTCTCCCAGCTTTAATTCGGGCTCCCGCAAGTTCGAAGGCATCGACGAGAACGTGTTCTAAAATCGATTCAAACTTTCGAACATTTCTCATTAGCATAGAGCCATTTTTCTGCGGGTTAGCGATCGTTATTTTGTCACATTTTGTCACGAGATTCCATAATTTCTTTTTAAGCGGAATGAACGTATTGTTAAGCCCGTTCTTTCGGCTTCAATTTGAGCCGTCAGATATTCGAAAACGTTTGAAACGAATGCAAATTTCGAGAGAATAGAAACGAATAAAAAATTCAAGCGAATGAAAAAGAATAAAAATTCGAAAACCATATAAGAACGCGCGCTAAAATCGACTCGAAGCAAATCTATGATCAAATTTAGACGAATTTAGTTCGCCATTTGCGACCCCGTTCCAAAATTTCTTCTCAACTAAAATACACCCGCCATTAACACGTTGAGTGCCGCGTCAGTCACATATAGCTGACACTAATTTTTAACTAGGTTATAACGTTCATTTTTAATACAACACACTGACCAAATTGAACGTTACTAGAATTTTTATTATACAAAAGTGTTACACTGAAATATTGTGGACATTTTTAAAGATCCATCACTAACCAAAAATATATATCTATTACTTTATACTTATTACTATTATTATTTACTGTTTTAATTAGTAGCGTCCAGAACAGATTCTTCAAGAATAGCCTTGGCAGTCAACATGTTCACGTGTTCAACTATGTTTTTCCGTCTTTAATTCGAGGCCGGAAGATTTGCGAAAAAGAAAAAGATTCGAGAAAGCGCCCCAAATCGATGGAAAACGAAGCGAACGATCCCCTAAATTAGAATCGAGTTGTAGACGTGACAGAAAGTTTGCTCGCGACGATATTTCATGGCAGCCTTTAACGTCGAATGTTCTCTCGCAAATCGACGTCCTCGGTAGAACTTCGAGCGTCTCCGATCGTTAAGGATTTGCGTAGAAAACGATATTCCGTCCGGCTCGAATTCGATTATACTGCTGTCGAGATGCCAACGATGTATTCTGTTTGTCCCCAGGGTACTGATGGAATTCCTGGCAAGGAGGTATAGTGGCATTCGATTATCGCTCGTCCCTTGGTGTGACTGCGACACACAGTCTAACCAACCCGGGGTAACGACGATACATCTGCCTGATCTACCCCGGGAACTGCTCCGAAATTCATCTCTTTACTTCTTTCGCATGAAACCGGAGGGAACGGAACTGTGTACCGCGTCCCTCTCCCCCTCCTAACACCCGGGACACTATCTAAACTTTCCCGTAGAGTTCGATGTCCCTATTAACACTCGGACAGCGGGGTGCGGGTCCATTCCGACCCGGAGTATACGGTAGCGGACGATAGATTAAGACGGGAAAGAAAGGAATTGGTAAAATGCACTCTGGCTGCAGGTCTTCGGAACGTTCGCGAAAGACGCGCGAAATCGGGACAATTTGTTAAACGGTGTACAGTAATGTCTTCCTAACTGACGCTTAGATTGTGCAGAAAAATGGACAATTTGGGAACAGGAGATACGATTATTCCAGCTCTGCACCATGTTTTTATAATCGTTGACAATCGGTAACTGTAAAAGCAAGTCCCAAGGCTCGAATTCGCAAGGCTCCTCTTCCCAAATTGTCCATTTTTGTGGTCAATCTGAGCGTCAATTAGGGAGACATTACTGTATATGGAAAACACGAGATTTCGTAGATCCACGGGAAAAAAGTATTCGAACATTTGTTAAAATGCGATCACTTTCTTGAAAACCGTTTTCCAAATTCGCTGCTGCTGTGAATTCTCTTCAATTTTCCTTCAGCGTGTAAACGAAAAATGGCCAATTTGGGAAGAGGAGGTGCTGATTATTCGAGCCTCGCGGCTCGTTTTTATGGTTACCAATTGTCGACAGTTTGTCGATTTTTGTTTAAAAGCCGAAGGAAAATTGGAGAGAATTTACTGCACTTGGAATGATCGGAGAGAATTGAAACTCTTGTTTTTGAACTTTTTTATCTGTGCCGATAACAAAAATTTTGATTATCGTTATAAGCTGCGATGAAAAAGTTAATACGAGTAATAACGAAATTAAGAGAAATTATTTCGGTCATTGTACGACAAAACTAGTCACTGTAACGTCTCCAAAAAATTCGAGTCATTTAGTCCAGTTTCGAGAAAGATATATGCACGATGTTTTTTATTAAATGATATACTCTATAAAAATGTATAGAGAAAGTGTGTAAAAAAATCAAACATACACGGTACAATTACAGTAACTTGCATGCTTCTCAAAGAGATTGCAACGACCAGCTGGTTAAAAAGTGTTCGAATACGTTTTCCAGGAGCTGTAGAATATTTGCATCGTAACATCCTCACACCTCCTGTGTCCTAACAAAGTTTGGCTCACTGAATACAGTAGAGGCTCGATTACCCCGAGTAATCAAGGAAACACGAGTGTTCGAATAACGGAACAGTTACATCGTGAAAAAAAGCTAGACAAATCTTTACCTAAATAACGTTTCCCGTGAATCCTTCTAGCTCGACTTAGAGAAAAGATTCAGACGAAAAGAAAGAACGAACGAAATCGGTAAAATGCGCTCTGGTTGCAAATCACGTATCATAATCACTTGGAAGAAACACGATGGAACATCATCGATTGAATTCCGATACGATCGAACGAGTCTTGTTTTTTCGATTTTAGATACTCAGGTACGGACTTCTTACGTGGTCTTCGTGCACTTAATTGAAAATGTTGCAACTGCCTTCGAGCTGTTCCAACATCGGTTTGTAAATGCTGCAGCTGCGATATCAGTCGCAAAATTAAAACGATCCTTTGCGCGGAAACGACTGATCCGGGGACCCCGTATTCTCGGTTGTTGTTCGCAGTCTGCCACTTTTTAGTCGATCAGAATGAGAAGGTCGGTCTTCGATCTGTTAACCGCGACGGAATATATCGCTGCATCGGAAATGTTTGATGTTTACGTGTTTTCTAGATATTCTGTCAAAATATTCCGTAAAATATTCTGTCATATTAAATGATCGACGAGTGACAAGCGATTCTTTTATTACTTTGAACGCGATAATGAAACTTCTCACTGCGAAGAAAAAGGTCCCCATTGTGAAACGAGCTGCACAAAAGTTAATTCCGAATTAACTGATTAATAATTGATAAATAATTGATAAATAATTGCTAAATAATAGATAAATAATTGATAAGTAATTGCTAAATAATTGATAAGTAGTTGCTAAGTAATTGATAAGTGATCGAAAATCATTGCTAAATAATTGACTCTTAAATGGTAAATAATTGATACTTAAATCGTAAATAATTAATGAACAATTAATGAATAATTTGATGAATGATTGACAAATATACCCAAGCATACTCAGCTATATTATTGCCAAGAACGTCCGCCGTTCGAGTGTTAAAACGTGCTTAGAAAATGGTTTCGATTATTAACACTCTGCTCGATGCCCTTGCAGTTTATATAAACGTATTCGATTCGATGTACACAGACACATTGGTACTGCGGTTTTTCTCAATTCTGGCTATTTTATTATCGTTCCTGAAGGATCCTGCCGAGATGGTTATGTCAAGTATCACATTGATGCATATGAAACGTCCGATTTTTAAACGAATAGTAAAAACATCTGATATATAAATATATATATATATATCATTATTTATTCATTATTTTATCAAATAATATAAATATACATATACATATACAGCTTAATCTCTAACCTTAACACTAGAATTCCCGAGCCCTAATCGAGACTAACGTATACATATTGCTTGATAAAAATGGCAAAATTAGATCTACCGATTATTTACAAAATCGTAGTACTGAAATAGCTCAAATTGAGGAAAGCCACTAAAGTAAACGATTATCCAGACACGATTCCTCGACGTCACTATAAAACAGTCGTGTGTGCTTTTGTCAACCGAGATGTCTGCGATCGTTAAGAATTTGCGTAGAAAACGACACCCCGTTCGGCTCGAATTCGATTATACAGCTGTGGAGATGCCAAAACGATGTATTCTGTTTGTCCCCAGGGTACGGCTGGAATTCCTGGCATGGAGGTATAGTGGCATTCGATTATCGCTCGTTCCTTGGTGTGACTGCGACGCAGTCTAACCAACCCGGGGTAACGACGATACATCTGCCTGATCTACCCCGGGAACTGCTCCGAAATTCATCTCTTTTACTTCTTTCGCATGAAACCGGAGGGAACGGGACTCCGTGTACCGCGCCCCTCCCTCCCACCCTCCCTACTCACACCCGGGACACTATCTAAACTTTCCTGTAGAGTTCGATGTCCCTGTTAACACTCGGACGGCGGCTGCGGGTCCATATCGACCCGGAGTTTACGGTGGCGGACTATAGGTTAAGACGGGAAAGAAAGGAATTCGGAAAATGCGCGAATTCGGTTGCGGGTCTTCGGAACGTTCGCGAAAGATGCACGAAATTGCAACAATTTGTTAAGCGATATAATAGAAAAGACGAGATTTAGCATAATAACAGGAAAAAATTATTCGCATTTTTTTTTTATTGTAATAACTTTCTTGAAATATTTTTTAATTTTGCCGTTACTTGGAATGATCGAAATAATTTTAAACGTATCGTTTTTGAATATTTTTTTCTCTGTGCCAGTAACGAAAATTCTAGAACACAATAGCGAAGACGAGATTTACTATAGTGCAACCAATTCTTAGATAGCATCAGATAGCATTTTTTTGTACACGGTTTCCATTTAACTTCGCGCTATGAGGATAAATTCGATTTCACGCGATTTCGTTCAATTTAGCTCGAGATTACTTTAAAAAAGGAAACGAATGTGGAACGTTTTGACCCTGCGTGACAGAGAAGGGTTAAATAAGTATTTCAGAGCTCATTGCGTTGTCTGGAAACATCGAGACATCGAACAATAGTATGAATGTTCAACGAGAACACTTTCAAGTTGCAACGAAATCGATGATAATCTCCTGGAAAGCGTTCCACAATAGGTGCAATAAATTCTCTCTAATTGACGCTCAGCTTGTACACAAAAATGGACAATTTGTAAAGAGGAGATACAATTATTCGAGCTTTGCATCTCATTCTTATAGTTACCGATTGCCGATAATTATAAAAACGAGCCGCAAGACTCGATCTGATTTTAGCAAAATCAACATTTTTGCGCAATCTGTGAGCGTCAATTAGGGAGAATTTACTGTACTCTTGCCTCACAGTTTTAGTTCGTTAAAGAGCTAGAACAAATTTTTACCGATTTGCATAGTAAATACTGTCTCTTGTGAATCATCTTAAACTGATCTGCTATTTACAGTAGCGAACGAAAGATCAAAACGAAAAGAAAGAAAGAAGGAAATCGGTAAAATGCACTTCAGTTGCAAATCTTCTCCGGATAATCTCCTTCCATCGTATCGCGATCACTTGGAAGAGATGCGATTGAACTTCGATTCGTCTGAGAACAATACTTTTCGTCAATCCATTTGTCTTGTCCAACATTCACGAGCTAAAACAGATGCTCACTTTTCAATTTTAGGCACTCGGGTGTTGGTTTCTTGCTCTTCGTTGGTCTTCGTGCTTTTAATTGACAATATTGCAACCGTCTCCTAACTGTTCCAACAGTCCCCTAACTGTTCCAACATTGATTTGTAAATCATTGCTTAAACAGATCCCAGCTGCGATATCAGCAGCAGAACAAAAACGATCCTTGGCGCACAAACGACGGATGCCAGGATCTATCTTCTCGGTTGTTTCTCGTAGTCCGCCGCTTTTTAGTCGAACAGAATAGAGACCAGTCGTTAAAAGTGTATACCACGTTTGCTTCCAAGCGGTTTCTGATCCGTTAACGATGGTTGCTGGTTCAGCAAATCGATAAATAATTCGTCCGCCGTTCGAGTGTTAAAACGTACTTACAAAGGGACTTCGATTCGGTGCACGCAGACACAATGGGTTTAGTGGTTTTTCTCAATTCCGGCTATTTTGCTAGCGTTTTTTTAACGTTCTACAGTGATAATGATTCTTACGACGATTGACGACGTTGATTAGCATTCTCTCGTTTCTTTGATTTTCTTCTTGATTTCTATTTCTTAATCTAGTTTCTATCTCTTCAGTTTTTATCTCTATTTTTTAATTTAATTTCTATTTTTTAATTTAATTTCTATTTTTTAATTTATCGTATCTTTCATGTTTTTTCTATTTATTCTAGTCTTATTTTTTGTTACTTTCGCAATCTCGTACTGCGTTATTTTCCATTATTTTCTCCATTTTTTTTGATCGATTTAATCATCTCGACTTATTGTCTTCCTTTAATTTTATCATTTTTTTTGTCTTTTCTTCTTTTCGATATGCTACTTCTGCGACAGGTTGCCATAATTATCGTAACACGAGGACTTTCCTCCGTTGATCAAAATAAATTATTATTACAATTATCCGAATGTTTTATTCGGGCATACAAAATTAATGTAAATCGAATCCAGCAAATATTTTTTATATAATCTCGAGAAGTAATTTAATGACGAATTCACGATTGAAAAAAAGGATTGTACCAAAACAGAAGTTACACTAAAAAAGAAGAACAATCTAGTGAAGCATTAAAATAGCTCAAATTGAGAAGATCCGCTAAAGTAAATAATTATCCAGATCACGATTCTCGATATCAGGGAAAAAAACACTCGTCTGTTAGCTGATGGTGGCTTAACTGTGTCATAACTGTATTCAGTCTTATCGAAACAGTGTTAACAAAGCATAGTACAAGGTCATTCGATATCAAGAACGCTTCAAGCCATAATTCTTTCGTTACACAAATTGCCATGCTCTCGACCATCAAGGATTACGCTAATAATAGAGTTTTCAACAATCACGAATCACATTACTCTGTTCGAAAGTTATCGAACTTATTGTCAATACGTTCAATACTCGCACATACACGTACATAAAAATAAACTGAGAACGTGATGTACTAATTTCAGTATAAGATAGAAGATTCGGTATTAAAATCATTACAATGATTACGAGAACAAATAAAATGATGCTATGGCTCGTTCGCGTTGAAATTGATGAAAATGTTTATTTTGCATGAAAGTCTGCGGTTTAATCATGGTACCACCGAGACCGCGTTTCGTTTGATTAGGGTACAGACAACTTTTAGGCTCGCCGAGCGATACGCGTGCATTATATCGAATTGACGTGAATGTATTTTGAGCGGTGATCAATACAGCCCTAAGAGGGTCAACGTCAATTTGGTAATTCCGATAATCGATGGGCCAAGATGTCGACATTAGTCGAAATTCGATTTCAACGTGATCCGCATAATTAACCAGGGAACCGCTTTAATTCGTATATATCTCAATAAATATATGATCGTAAAAGGAATAATTTCGATATTTGCAACGCGGTCAAAGTGCATTGAAACTCGCTTTCGCGGAAACTCGGACGAGCAGGTTAGCCTCGCTGAATTTTCGTTGGAATTTACTTATTAGAAATCGATCGTGTTCGAACGTGATTTTAACGTAAAACGTGCCGGCATTCGAATAAAGCGGGCCATGTAAAATTGTCAGAATTTTCCTCATTTTCGAATAGATTTTTATTTAGAAAATGATCATAATATAATATAAAATTCTAGGAAATTGTTATAGGAACAGCATTTATTTTCAACGTGAAAATGAATTATGTAGACACAAATCATAATGATAATTTTTACTCACAGCAAACATTTGTTACGTAATACATAACACTCTAGCAACCCTTTTATTACAATAAAAATGAGTAGATCAACTACAAGACAGTAGATGCACTTAGAAAATTATAAAACACTTATTGCATTATTTTCAACTCACTAAAATGTAATTAAGGAACGGTTGAATACGCGTCTACGTACTTCAGAAGTTTATGTACTTCCTGTATGTTACAATTAATGCAGACACTGTTCATTCTCCATAGAAATCCTCAGGATAATTACACGTGTCGATCATCGCGGTAGCAATCATTTTTACACGCGTGATTCTTGTGTCAATATAGCTTCCTTCGAACCATATAAAACCGTATCGGACGACCTCGTACTGAAAACGCTCCTCGAAGCAGTTTCGCTTAACGGAACAGAGAAAAAAATCGCATAATCTCCTATCTCAAGAACACAGACCATGATCACTAAACTCCAAAAAGAACAACGGGGGGCTCTCTAACATCCGCTAATCACACTGCTCTCCAAAATAACCGACCGATTTTAGTCTAATTACCTTACACTTCGTTCGACGCGTCGACGATCGTAGCGGCGTTATTGCATTGAGAGAAGGTCGTAACTGATGTATCTGGCTGGCCGCGTAATACGATCAGAAACGCATCGAACACCGTGCATGTGGAAAAAGAAGCGACGAACCAGAATAAATTCTTTGGCCTACCAATTCTAGGGACAGAAGGGAGACAAAGGTGATATAGGACTACCTGTAAGTATTGACGTAATTCGACTATTAATTTAAAAATAATCGGGCAAGCAAATTACGATTCCAATCAGGCTGGTTTTATTGTGGACGTTAATACGGATTCGCCCGGACGTGTATCACGACGAAATGATACTGTTGTACCATCGACGTTGCGCCGCCACGATTTCTCATTTATCATTACCGTCGTAGCCGTTGTTGATCGCCTCGGTTGCTCGTCGCCGCTTCGCTCCGCGATCGTTACCGTCGCCGCACTATTGCGTCCAAGGCTGCCGTGACAAATGAATCACCGCTGTTCGTAAAGACGCAGGCTACGTTAATTTTCACGTTCGCTATCGACCTGCGTAACACGGCTTCGTGATGCGTGAATCACTGTTCGGTGAGAGACAACGGAACGGAACAATCGAACGGAAGCAGAAAAAACTGGTTCGGACACGGCCGAAAATTTGATCGGAGTCCGCGGATTGATTCGGCGATTTAATGGAGCAAATTTCGTTATTGTCGGCGTGTCCGAATCAGCTTTGCCGCGCGTACTTCCGACGATGTACAGCGGCTCCAGAAAATCTCTGTGCGCGAAATTTCGAGTTTTCGGCGGACCGTTGATATTGAAACTGTTATGATCGCGGTAAAACGAATTGCACAACGATCAATTAGCACTCATTTTGTAGCCCGAGGCTTTCACTTTTCATATGTATCGTTCATTTTCCTCCAGCATGCTTGTACAGGATATGCGAAGGGGAGGAAACAGAAGACACAGGTTTACTGGTGGAATTGAAGAGATACAAATTGAAGCGTCTCCAAGAACGTCGACGAATTTTTTCGACGAACGCGTCCATCATGGATTTGAAGATCGAAATCTCCTCTTTGCAACGATATCTTGAAACTTGACGTACTATTTTTTTTAGACGTTTTATGGAACAGAGACGGAGAACAGGTTCCGTCGCGCGAAGCCATCGTGTATATTGCGAGGCGCAGCTTTCGTTCGAAGCTCGGCAAAGTGACTAAGGAAAATCGTGCGACAAAGCTGAAGGGATCGTTGCAGAGAGGAGGCTTCAATCTACAAATCCGCGTTAAGATCAGTCGCGAGAAAAATTTCCTGATGCATACACAGACGTTTCAATCCGTAAGATTTGCAAGGCGGCGCGCGTCTTCGTGTTCTGCGCGCTGTATCGTTTGAGATCGTGCCGCAGGAAAATGAACGATGCACGGCGAAAGCGCAGAAGCTTCGAGCTTCAAAACGAGTCCAGGTTCGTCGTCGTACAATCTCGTTTCGCGAAATTATAACGGTTCGAATGTGAACGGTTTATCGAAGATCGACGACGATTCGTCCGGAATCGATCGTTCGTCGAGGAATCGGCAATCTACGAAGGCTTTGCGGAGCGGCTGTACAAACGCCATAATCTCGCACACCCTCATTCTCAGTTTCTCCACGTTGACCACGCCGTTCGTTTCGATCCATCTTGTAGATCCGTATGCTGCCACCAGCGTGTAACTCGTCGACTCGCCATACTTTCGTTGAGATCGGGACCGTGTGACGCTTGTGGTCGGATCAATGTTGTTTAGCTGTTTAGAAGTCTCTGAAAGCGATGGCCGAGGGAAATTTCGTGTAGAATTTCGGCCGAACTTGAGCCGAGCATAGGCCGAGCTATTCCGTAGCGATTTTCGAGTAGTCGAGCAAAAGATTCCTCAACGCCTCTGTTAGACGTTCATGCTCAATTGCGGACTCTGCACAGTTCGATACTGTATAGTGCATAGAGAGAATCTTTCTTCTGCCTGGCCTTTTTTGCACGTTTGCACAGACGCTCGCTGCCTACGTCATTTCCATGAAAAAGCATTCTTGTGTCTGAACGCAGGGGGCGGAGGGCAAACGCGGTAAGAAGGGCGAGAAAGGCGACACGGGAGAACAAGGTGTACCGGGACTCGACGCACCCTGTCCAACAGGTCCCGACGGATTGCCGTTACCCGGATGCGGATCGAGACCATCTCAGGTAATCCAATCTTTTTCTCTGTCCATATTCCTCTTCGTTCGGATCTAGCTCTTTTCTTCGAGGAAACCAGTATTAGATTAATACGGAGACGATGTCGCATTTCTTTTCGTTCGTATATACCTTTTTTTTTCTTTCCTTCCGTGGAACCGGTATGAAATTAATACAGGAGACGACGTCGCGTCTCTTTTCGTTCAGATCTGTCCATCTTCTTCGAGAAAACCAATGATAACATTTCGTTGATATCTACGGTCGCCTACGGACACCTTTTAAAACGCGACAAGTATTTTCTTTTTTTAACTGGGCCGAATAACGCGAATTTTCTTTAAATATTAAAAGATGTCTCTAGTTACAAATATTTAATGATTAAAATAACGTCTTGAAGCAGCGTTTTAAATGGTGTACGAACACTTTTCACGGGGACGGTGCTCGATTATCGAGTTAAACAACGGAGACGTGTACTGCGTCGGTGAACGACCGTGAACGTTGACGCGCGGTTGCAGGCGTTGTAAACGTTGTAAATGTTGTAAGATCAAGCTAGATCGCTCGGATTCTCGCCTATGATTAGCAGACCATCATCACCTCGGTGTCAGCCATCGACGGCCCCGAACCAGCTGAAACGGATTACGAGGAACCGGAAGAGGAGGACGATGAATATTCGGATCCGAACGGAAATCTAGCCGAGCAATAAATTGCTCATTGTGCGCTGCCCTAATCACCATCAACTACTACCACCACCACTACCACTACTACCACCAATACACCACCAAAAAAAAATACCACCACCGTCATCGCCCCTCATCACTCGTCTCACCCTGCTCTCCTAAACTAACGTGGTCCTGGTAATTGCAAGCCCCGTAGTTACGCTAACTTTTTTTGCATGATACCGGTCGGCGAAGCAACGCGCCGACACGCTTTTCGATACTGAACGTCGGTTTCTTAGGCACGGCCTTTCTTAGAGTCACCGAATTAGAGCAGAGCCTCGTTTAAGATCTTCGATTTCACGGGATAGGACAGCTACGATGATGAATTAGCTACCGCGGCTGACATTGTTCTACCGTGGACTTCGGTGTATTTATGGCAAAAACGGATGAAACATGAAGTAACAGGAATGTTGGAAGAATTTGATACCGTTAGAGTATCGTCTTCGATTTGTTAGTGGAATAGTTGAGAGATGAAATACATTTTTATTTAATTTCTGAGTCTTGTAATTGCTCAAATTGCATCAAACGTTGAGAGAAACGGCGGAACAGCGACTAGTTCATCTAAAGCTTTCAGAAGACAAAGGCAATTTGGATAATGTAGGTTTATTAGCTACCTTCGCAAACTGTTCTCGTTGTTAGAGTATAGTTGAGATTGTTACAGTACTGTTCTCAATTTATTAAAATACATTTTTTATTCGACCCCTATCTTCAGTAAGAGTTTCTCAAAATCATTTCGATAAATTAATGTCGATGCTCACATTCTGTTGCTTGTGGAAATATAAACGAGGTTCTACACGTTAGTTCCTTTATACCTTTCAATTTGACCGTCTGTAGACCTTCTTTTCTTTTCGTTTATTTTTTAAAAGTTGCACCCAACCACTTCCCTTTTGGCAATGATCCGTCCAAAGACGTTGCAAGTTGGACGAAATTCCACCGTCGTTGATAAAACCTTTCCATTCCTGAACAGAATGTACGACCTTATTGCGTTGCCCATAGAATGATTTAACACTCGATACAACACTAATCTCCGGTGCATGAATTCTTGACTACATACCCGCCCGATTGCTTCCACGCACGATTACACAACTGTCGAGCTAGCGACTGTTCGATGAACAATGAGATGCCAACACGAAACTGAGTTACGATTATAAGGAACAGCGGTTTACGCGTGAACACGTTCGAACGTTCACGTTTACATTGCACCTGTACGTTCCGGCGCTATGAATCTTCCTACTTCTTTGACCGTATTACACGCAGGGCCTGAAATGTTAAACAGAACTATAATTTCAATCTCGATTCTTGCCACAGTTGCTAATAGACTGCGACTCTTGTTCGAAGACTGTATTCCTATTTTGCATAGTTCGCGAGTTATAGCAAGGAAATCAAAAATAATCGAATATTCGGGGGTTCGTTTCCAGCCCCTAAGGGGGTGGAAATTCACTCTAAAGTAAATTTAGCCGAGAGAAAAAAATTGTGTAATATATATATAATATATTATATTATTGTAATATATTATTATATATAATATATTATATTATTGTAATATATTATTATATATAATACATTATATTATTGTAATATATTATTATATATAATACATTATATTATTGCAATATATTATTATCTATAATATATCTATATAATATATTATATCTACGTATTCCCAAAATTTCAGAATTTTTTGAATTTCCTGGCTACAGATACAATAAATGCAGGATACCAATTTAACAATCCTAAATCACTAACTTACTAAAAATGTTCAGAATGAAGCTGAACTTCTGCTCGTCGTGGTCGAGAATTTTTATTTTCCCTAGAGATCCGCAGTCTATTCGAAACAATGTATATGTATACTTGGAATATTGTTCCATCGTGACTGTTTGTGACCTTTGCCCGACGGTTGGATATTAACGATCGTTCTCGAGACCGTTTCAAGCCCTGAATCACACGAATCTTCTAGGCCTGCTTGAACAAACAATTCTAGAAATGAATCAATCCAGTCCGGGTCTCTAATGCGTCCGTTTCATGATATTTACAGGGAGGAAACAACATTCTTCGGGAATGGCTGGAGGAGGAAGAGGCGGAACAAGGGCAGTAACACAATGGAGTACAGAAGCACACATTTCCAGGGACCTCTGTGTATATTTCATCGTGAAAATACTCATCATCCCCACCCCCCACCCCGATTCGACGTACCGAACAAGCTGTTTACGAAAGAACAAACGAACAAAACGAACAAAGCGAAGCAAAGCAAAGCGAAGCGAAACGAAGCGAAGCAAACAAACAAACAGAAATGAGATATATATGTATATTTTACGTATACATATTTTTTTTGCATATAACTACCTGTATGCCAAACTAATCATCTTGCCATCGAGTGTTGTAAATAAGTGTACTTACAGTGATTAGCGTCCGCAGATAGTGCGTGTACATAAATATTTAGAGCTTATTACCGCGGAACGCGGTTAGAACAATACCGACATACAATTTTGACCGGCGACAAGTGTCCGGACACATAACTTTACGAATCACTTTTGTCCTCGAGGCCGAGAATTAAACGAACAATCGATCGCACAACGCGCCCGGCGAACGAAACCGCGCGACGGCAAAGAGAATAAAGGGTAAAAATTGATTTGTCGGTCCGGCGACGATTATGCGAACGCATCCTATGTATAAATAACAGTAACGAGATCATCGCGGCGCGAACAGATATGTTTCGCGGCGCGAGAATTCGACGAATGAAGAAAGGGGGGGTAGATAAAATAAGCGGACGTTAAAGTAACAATGAAATTCCACACCGTCGTAATATAGCTTTCTTAAAAAGTATCTACCGTCGTACGCTATGTATATCGTTCTTGAGATATCAACCGTCATCGTAATACAGTTTTTCTTAGATATCGGTAAATTCGTGAAGAGAAAGGGGAATTTATGTTATAGACGAGAAGAAACTGAAGCACACCGTCAGAACTGATGATTATTCGTTTGCATAGGCCCGTCGATTAATGCTGTTTTCATTAACGAAAGCATCGTTCCGTTTTTAATTTATATTCAGGTAAACCTTTTTAATCAGCGTTAAGTTACTCTGTTAATTTATTTCCTATTCAGATACAACCAAACGAGCTATTAAGAAGCACAAATGCTATTTAACATATTCATACATGATCGTATTAATTATCGACCGTTCTACATATCATTATGATTTTAAGAGATGGAGAGGAAAAAAGGGGGGGAAACCGATTTGATTTGTCGCCATCGTTTTTCGGGGAGGTCCAATTTTGCATTTTATCGAGGACTTTTCGTGCGACACGTTTCAAATTGTTCGGTGACTTTCTGTCACGGGTATAGCGTAGAATTCCGTTACAGTGGGAGAACAGTTAAAAAGAACTTACTTTCCTACTACGTATTAGTTTCGCGAACAATGCATATGCGTGTACCTGTGTAATTTTGTTGCCTTCGGTGTGTCGGATAAGGTGCATATTTTTGCACGATCGCAAAAGGCTAATTTTTATACGAGTATCAGTTAACAAAGCATATCGTTACGTAAGTTTCCTTTAGACTTAGAGTTACATTAGCTGTAAAGCGACAGAATAATGTGTACACATTGTCAATATTACCAGGTATTGTAAAATAAAATATAAGTGTATATCCGGAATATTCTACCCACTTCGTAGTTCCTGTGAAATCAAACCTGCATTGGACTTGTCCTTTCGTATAGCAATAAATAAAAACGGAAAATATAGTATGAAATGCGATACCACATCTAATGATGAAGAAATGTTAACTAAGGTAAGGTATTAACAAATTATACGACAGCAATGGTTTCATAATTTCTAGAGTCTACAATCTTTACTTAAAAATTACTTAATAAATTGTTTAACGGCGATAGTAATTTTATTTGTGCACCAACCAGTCATCCCTAATAATATAATCTAATTCATTTCATGTGGAACTACCACATGGAAAGTAATTTTTAGGATACCTTTTAGCGTAGCACGATAATTGGAGATCCTACTAATACAAAATGTTAAGAGAGTCATGTCACATCAGCCATTTACAAGCCAATGTTCAAATAAAATTAACCATACCTGCAAAGTTAAATTAAATATATTAAACATTATTATCATTGGGACATTAAAACTATATATTACTATTACAAACTTTTATGTTTTATTACCATCAGTATACAATAATAAAGTTTTATTATAAATGCAATTTAAGCAATTTATATTTCTTTAAGTATGACTGCACTTTATCCTTAGGATAAGGTTTTATGGCCAAACATGTTGGCATGTTTTCAGGTTGTTCAATCCACAATTTATGTTGGATGTTGTTACTGTTCAATACATTGGATAAAGCATTTAAACTGGTCTCATCTGGTATCTAGTGTTTAAATATCACATATAGTATACTGTTTTAAATAAAACAGCTTTCGCTTATTCCGCACTAAAAGAATGATCAATTATATGCACAAAAACTCTATACTTACTTCCAGTACAATTTTGTGCATATTATCTAAATCAGCAAGGTAGTCTTGCGTATAATTGTCATTATAAAAGAGATGAGTAACAGCAGTGCAAGCATGACACGCTTGAGCAATAACTGCACCAATAGGCCACTTCAATGCTTTCAAAAGATCTCCTCGCATCACCACATATTGAACTATTGTATCACTCATTCTAAGAATAAGAAATACTTCGATGTTTAAATTTTTTTTAAATGCATTTCTGCTATACTACGCTACAGGTATACTTCTACACAGGTGAGATTTTATAATTTCTAAGATTATTACATAACAGAGATAGCGTAGAAAAGTTCTACCACTTTCTATAGTCCCTTTTTTAATTTAATTGTTATAAATTTGTCAAATTCTAAATGTTTGTAGAAATTAAGTTTATATGTAGCTTCCAGTAACCTCAAAATGTAATCAACATTTTTTAAATTAAACTCATACCTTTTCCCAGTACGTTTAAATCTACAGTCGAAAGTACAAAAATAATACTGTAGTAATTATCTTCCTAAAACGTGTTTCAGGCTAACCTAGATATTATAATAAATCTTGTAAATCTACTTATCAGTTCTTTGCTGACATAAATCTGTTACACATGATGTAGACAGTAGATACGTTTAAGTTAAATCTGCTAATCAAGAAATACATTTTATTACATTGTAAATAAAACACCTTTATACGTTTTCTTTTACTTTACATCCAAATGTGAATATATTTGTACATAAAATAATATAATTCAACGTTTAAATATGTTTTGTATGATTTTAAGTAAATAACCATTAAAGTAGTTTTCTAGACAAAAGAATATATTTAATTTCTGAAATCCAATGCTGATTATCAATATTCATTTTGCATTTGTATTTCGTCACAACATTTCTAAATATACATAAGTGGAAGATTAATTATTAAAAACAGTCGGATGACCTTTGTGCTTTAGTTATCTCTTCTATTATTCCAAAATAAAAAATTCATAAGTCTCCAATCGCGACGCGCGTAAATCACATAAAAAAAGAGCGCAACAATGATATACATACTGTGCATAAAACAGTAACAATTCTCATTAACAATGGTTTATCCGCTGCTATTAGCGGACTTCAATTATTAATAATTTGGAAGCAAAACTTACATTGCACGTTTTCTATTCTTGATTTTTGATTTATTGTCATGAGGAACAAAGAATCGTCCATTCAATTTTTTCCCACCTGTTGCCGGACTCGTTGTCCAATGGTGTTAGGGTAATATTTCTTTCTCCAGGTAGACAGATTAAAAAATGTTTTCAATATTTAAACAAAAGAAAGATAATGTATGATTTGAATGAAATTTTAAATTTAAAACAGTAATATTAAACAATATTTCAAGTATTTCACGCAAGTACGAGCACTTTTAATTCTAAAATAGGAGGCACTGTTGTCTGCAGATGGCGCTAACTGTTCGCCTTCCGTTGTGAATTGCGAATCAAGATCAAGTCCCTTCGCGGAACCGGTAGCCGGTTAGACATTCTTTTGACATCGTGCGGATACGTACGGTGCTCGACTACATTCTAGATTTTTCTACATAAAGGAGAAGGTATGATTTCATTCGATTATCATAACGTTCGCATTAACACGGTCGTTTCATTCATTTCGAACTAATACCTACTCATCTCGTTTTAGAAACACTAGAATCGTGATTTAGACAATCGCAAAGCTTTATTGCCAAAAGTAATGCAATATGTACCTCGGTTATCAAGAAACGTGATAAATGATTATCTTTGTCGAATTAGACGTAAATCGATGTCAAATAGTTTGCACTTACCCTTTCATCTTCGATTAGTTCTTTCTCGAATTTTAGTCAATTTTTCAAGAACCGTTATACGAAGGTCAAGTTCGTAATTGTTGAAACTTCCACCACGCCATTGCTGTAGTACGAATTCCGTTTGTATTATACAAAAATTTGCTGTGTAATGCAATGAAATTGTGATAATTTAAAAGCTTCGAGAATATTGCTAATGTAGGTCACGAAGCAACTGTCGCCATACGTTGTACACGTATATATATATATAAAAATACATTTTTATTTTGACTAGTTTTCTATTGTTCAAATTTTCGAAACGTTATAATTTGCTGGCCTTTCGAAACCTTCGTCCTTGACCATATTTTTAATTGTTGATCGTATATAAGGCTTTGATTGTGCATTTATCTCGCGGTTTCGCGTTCGCATTATCGTGACCGATATCACGGAACACGTTTTCTTTATTAGGTAATCCATATTTATTGAACGAAGCAATACAAAATCTGTGCACGCTTTAGATATACATATATACGTATATTATCAAACAAAAACATTGACACAAGAACTGTCGTAAAGTTGCATGTGATTCTAGGAAAAGATAGGACATCGATTTTTTTCGAAACTATAGCTAAAAGTCTATGAATCAAATGTACGATAAGCTGTGAACATTAACTGCACACAGATATGGGAAAATATGCATTCATTCTAACATAAAACATCAAGTACTTTCACTTTGTATTTCGTATTTTCTAACTTCCATGCTTATTTGTTATTTTTCTAAAAGTATTTACTTCAATTTTTTTTGCTTGGTTTATGTATAAAGATGATCAATTAAGATTTTAAATGATCAAGAGATGTAGCAGCATCATTGAAACATTTATTAATGGGATTCTGGTAGTTAGAGTCTGTTAAGTTGTTCCATTTCAGGAACTAAAATGACCTCTTTATGACCTACACAATTTGATTGCACTTCACAATTCATTGGTATTATGTATGCTTAACATTATTTCTGTGTGTTCACATTAACTTAGCCAAATAATTTAATTCTATAGCATGGAAAACATAAAAAAAATATCACATTTCTTTTTCCATTTCGAAGTAGATTATGTGTACTATGTCAACATTTATACCAAATAGTCTAGTAAAATTTTTAGATAAATTAATCACTTTAAAGAGAAGGTATCAAAGAAAATCAGAACTACCATACAATCAAGACAAAGGAAAAATGACGAAAATTTGGTTTATGCGCGCAGCAGTCACTCTATTCAAAAATGCATTTCTTTTAAAATATATATATATACATATGCGTGATAAATGTTACAAGTAAAATAGATAAAAAATATATGAGAAAATTAACGGAATGTTAAAATGTAAGGATATCTATGAATGTAAATGTATTTAAACAGAACAATGAAAGATAGTTCTATTTAAAAAGGAAGATTTAATCATCACGTTCTTTGCACACCTTAATTTTGAAAATACTTGTCGATATTAGGTTATGTTTTCCTTGAGATGAAAAAGCAATTCTATGAAATGCACTTTTGTGTTTTGCTAATCAAAGTATATTATATTTTCTGAAAATATCGGAATGTATAAACATATTAAAATTTGATATATAATAATATTTTGATGAAGTATATCATGCAACATATGTATTTTCCTTACTTTATAGACTATTATAAAATCAGGATAACAGTTTAAATATTTGTAAATAAATCTGTTTTGATTGCAGAAACTTAAGAAATAGACATGCCTGTCCCTGCTATTCAGAAACCAGCACCAGCTTTCCACGGCACTGCTGTTGTCAATGGAGAGTTCAAAGACATTTCTCTTGCTGACTACAGAGGAAAATATGTTGTTCTCTTCTTCTACCCATTAGATTTGTAAATATTTTCTATCGTAATAATATAGATGTGATGTTATTGGTTTCACAGATGTTGTAAGTAATAATCTTTTTTTTTCAGCACCTTTGTTTGCCCAACTGAAATCATTGCTTTCTCTGACCGTTCTGATGAATTTGATGCAATCGGTTGCAAACTGATCGCAGCATCAACTGATTCTCACTTCAGTCATTTAGCATGGGTAAACACACCACGTAAACAGGGCGGTCTTGGTGAAATGAAAATTCCGCTGCTCGCCGATAAGAGTTCCAAAATTGCACGCGACTATGGCGTGCTTGATGAGGAATCTGGTATTCCCTTCCGCGGTCTTTTTATCATCGACGATCAGCAAAACTTACGTCAGGTTACAATCAACGATCTGCCAGTCGGCAGGTAAGATAATCCACAAAGTCTGACATACGATATGATATTATTTCGACGTTCACTAAATATAATTTGTTATAGATCCGTCGATGAAACCTTGCGCTTGGTTCAAGCATTTCAATACACCGATAAACATGGCGAAGTATGTCCAGCAGGCTGGAAACCAGGAAAGAAAACTATGAAACCTGATGTTGAGGGCTCCAAAGAATACTTCCGGAGCTCGTAGATGAAACCATTTTAAAGGTTTATCTACTTTTCTAATTTTTTTTTGTTTTGTTTTGTTTCGTTAAAAGAAAAAAAAATTCCATTATTAATTACATGTAGTGATAAAATATTTAAATTAGTTTAGGAAAACGATATCGTCTACTTAACTTTTTTACAATAAACAAATGTGTTTATATAATTTTAGCGCTCGTACAAATTATTCACGTACACCAATTTCGTCATGTACCTAGGTCTTTATCTATAATAAGCGTGATCGTTGATTACTAATCCGATATTAGACTGAAATGTTGAAAAGCAAACTCAAAACGCGATCGTATTTATTCGCAACGCTATCTTTAAAGTCACTGTGCATATCAATCAAAATGAAATCGCGATTATTTCATTCGCAACACTACACTTTAAACTCTAAACGCTAATTTTAGTCTCTGTTCAAAATCGACTAAAGCAACGCGTGATTATTTCGCAACGCTATTGCAAGTCGCGGATGTACCCATCTGAGCTTATCGTTGGGGCGGTTAAGACTGCCCATAACTACTATTGCGAGTACTATAACTACTGCAGCGAGTACAGTGACCAATTAATATTACATATACATAATTATATACACAACAATACACATAATCATTTGTGTCTTACATCCGTAGTATTAACCTGAAAATAAAGAATCTGAAAATCCTAGCTAAAAAGAGTGTGTTATTAGTTTCAAATTAATCTTCAAAATGAATCTGTTTCGATTGCAATTCAAATTATGACAAGTTACGGCCGAGAATTGCATTGGCATCAATGCGAACAAATTTAATTACCCGAAACGGAAGGGTAATGGTCAATGTATTCGTAAAATTATGAAAACTACTGATAAAAGCATGCTACTCGCATTTCGACGTGACGTTGGCTCTGGAATTCGAGGTAGGAAGAAGCAAGTGGAAGTACGAATGGAGAAGCAACAGCAAGAATGAAGTATTAAGCACTCCCGTGGATATTTCGTCATGTCATTTCGTAATGGAAATAATTAGTAACGTCAAACATACAGAGTGATTTTTAAGTCATGAAAGCGTCGAAGAATTGCTACATCGGAAATATTCTATTGATAAATTTATTATCTCCAGCTGTTTAATAATTACAAGAATTTCTTTTCCTAATGATACCTTCTAATGATCTCCCGCCTGCTCCGAAACTAATGTTTAAACAAAAATAGCTAACAGAACTCGTGGCACCGAAGAACTTTTGAAGCACAAATAATTCGAAAAATGATTTCGTTAAATCGTCTTCGTTGTGCACACATTTCGGAGTTCGTAAAGAGTCCAGCTCCAGAATTAAAAGAGAACTCCACATTTCCAAATCATAAAACGTGCCGTAATGCGAATAAGGTGTACAGAATACTCGATTCTCGCTAACGAGCACTAGTAGTAGAAATGAAATATATAGAATATTCGATTCGTGCTAATGTGCCTGAATTTACGAACCATCGGCAACACTGAACGCGACACCGAAATGGATCCCGCAAAGTAACTGAGACAGAAAAGTCCATAAAATGCAATGTTCAATTTTTAAGAAGCCCATGTGGTGTCCAGTTTACATTGATAACTCGTCTGTATTGTTAACAATTGCTTTGTTTTACCGATAGTATCAGCAGAGCTTGTACTCGAGCGCACTCTATAAGAAAACAACGGTCGACCGATGAACTACTTGGGAAANATTATTCACGTACACCAATTTCGTCATGTACCTAGGTCTTTATCTATAATAAGCGTGATCGTTGATTACTAATCCGATATTAGACTGAAATGTTGAAAAGCAAACTCAAAACGCGATCGTATTTATTCGCAACGCTATCTTTAAAGTCACTGTGCATATCAATCAAAATGAAATCGCGATTATTTCATTCGCAACACTACACTTTAAACTCTAAACGCTAATTTTAGTCTCTGTTCAAAATCGACTAAAGCAACGCGTGATTATTTCGCAACGCTATTGCAAGTCGCGGATGTACCCATCTGAGCTTATCGTTGGGGCGGTTAAGACTGCCCATAACTACTATTGCGAGTACTATAACTACTGCAGCGAGTACAGTGACCAATTAATATTACATATACATAATTATATACACAACAATACACATAATCATTTGTGTCTTACATCCGTAGTATTAACCTGAAAATAAAGAATCTGAAAATCCTAGCTAAAAAGAGTGTGTTATTAGTTTCAAATTAATCTTCAAAATGAATCTGTTTCGATTGCAATTCAAATTATGACAAGTTACGGCCGAGAATTGCATTGGCATCAATGCGAACAAATTTAATTACCCGAAACGGAAGGGTAATGGTCAATGTATTCGTAAAATTATGAAAACTACTGATAAAAGCATGCTACTCGCATTTCGACGTGACGTTGGCTCTGGAATTCGAGGTAGGAAGAAGCAAGTGGAAGTACGAATGGAGAAGCAACAGCAAGAATGAAGTATTAAGCACTCCCGTGGATATTTCGTCATGTCATTTCGTAATGGAAATAATTAGTAACGTCAAACATACAGAGTGATTTTTAAGTCATGAAAGCGTCGAAGAATTGCTACATCGGAAATATTCTATTGATAAATTTATTATCTCCAGCTGTTTAATAATTACAAGAATTTCTTTTCCTAATGATACCTTCTAATGATCTCCCGCCTGCTCCGAAACTAATGTTTAAACAAAAATAGCTAACAGAACTCGTGGCACCGAAGAACTTTTGAAGCACAAATAATTCGAAAAATGATTTCGTTAAATCGTCTTCGTTGTGCACACATTTCGGAGTTCGTAAAGAGTCCAGCTCCAGAATTAAAAGAGAACTCCACATTTCCAAATCATAAAACGTGCCGTAATGCGAATAAGGTGTACAGAATACTCGATTCTCGCTAACGAGCACTAGTAGTAGAAATGAAATATATAGAATATTCGATTCGTGCTAATGTGCCTGAATTTACGAACCATCGGCAACACTGAACGCGACACCGAAATGGATCCCGCAAAGTAACTGAGACAGAAAAGTCCATAAAATGCAATGTTCAATTTTTAAGAAGCCCATGTGGTGTCCAGTTTACATTGATAACTCGTCTGTATTGTTAACAATTGCTTTGTTTTACCGATAGTATCAGCAGAGCTTGTACTCGAGCGCACTCTATAAGAAAACAACGGTCGACCGATGAACTACTTGGGAAAAGAGTTGTATTTTAGGATGGATCTTATTTCATAGGGGGAGGATTTAATTTATAACGAGGATTTATTTATTTATTTATACCACAGGCAAGAAAACCCTTCACATAAAATATTGAATAACGTGACCAGTACGAACTATCGCCAAATCGGAGCATATATGTATAATAATTCACATTTAAACATACAGTGGGGATGATCTTATAACGAGCTTATAACTAATTATAAATACTTCATGAAGATTAAATAAAGAAATGGTGTGACATCTTGTAAATAATTATTGAAGATTGATGGAAAATTTAAACATTGAGTGACATTTTATAGATAATTATTGATGGTTGATGAAATTTAATACAATTTAAAAGTTGAATATGATATTTTATAAATACTTATTGAAGATTAATGAAGATTAATTCTTCGTAATGGTATTTATATTGTTTCGTAAATAGATAATATAAATTCATACTTGTGAAAAAGCTTCGTTTGATTTGCAAAAGGACGAATAAAATCTGCAAGAAGGATTATTTGATTTGTAAGAAGGTGAACAAGATCTGCGAAAAAGTGATGCAAAAAGTGATGCAAAAAGTGATGAAAAAAGGGTGCGAGAAAGTGAATACGATCGGCGGAAGGATTAATTTTCGGTGCAAAAGCTGCGTCTGCATAGAAAACGAGAAACGTTCGTTACTGGGTTCCTTAGAAAACCTCGCCGGCACACTTAACATACTGCCGAAGGACAAGGGCAAACAAAACGAAGGGTCGTTGGCAGTATTATCGCTGTTTGATTAAACGAGATTAATGCCCCCGGGGGTTGTTTCAAGTGGCGTGCAAAAACTAAAAGTAAGCTCGTGTCGCGTGTGTCGAACTCTGCCCCTTTCTCTCCCCCGTGTCCCCCTATTTTAACTTTCCCATCCGGTTTTCGTTTCACCCCCGTACCCACGGGTCGCCCGACGGCCGAGCGACCCTCTTCGACGTGTTTTCAAACCCGTGCAACCTCTTTTCGAGAGCGAAAACCCTTCGATTGCATTAAGCGGATTTCATTCGATCGTGGACCGGCCGAACAAACAAATCGGTTCGACGAACGCATTTCGTTTCGTTTCGTTTCGCGGACGATTGTCCGCCGGTGGTATTGTGCTGCGGTGCCGCCAGAGAATAGTGCCACCTTTCCGAAAGTTTTGATTTATAACGATCCGCCGGCGTCGATCCGGATCATGAGATCCACTTCTCTTTTCTCTTATCCATTCCGCGTATCTTTTTCGGATCGCTGAAATATTTTCATTATCTTATCAATATTTTTACTGCAAGATCTCTTCGGCATTGTTTCGGCAATGTTAGAATATCATTCGGATATTATTTTTGTTCTAAACAAATATTACATTTGTTATAATAACATTTCTTAAATTCGTTTCAGTGAATTATATTTCATTAAAAATTCAGGAACTCGGAAAAAAATTCAGTAACTCGGGAAGGAATTCAGGAACTCGGAAAGGAATTCCGAAAGGATTCCTAAATTTAGGTGAATGAAACCAGAGGGTCCAAAAAGCTGTACGCTGGACTAGAAGAAATGCGGGAGACGAACTTAAGATTTTCAGAAGTCGAAGAGAAGCATGGCAAGAGTCAAGAGAAGCATGTCACGGGGAAAGGTCGCGACGATAATCTGCACAATATATTATGTATTGTTCGAAGATACGGACGCGCGCAGCATCTTTTTGAACGTTCGGAGCCTAGGTGCGTGGTGTTGCGAGTGCTTCCGGCTTATAAGCGCAGGTAGAAAGTGTGGTCGATCCTGACGAAGGCAACGAAAAACACGACCGCCCATTGTGCGAGATTTGATGACCCTGCGAGCCCGGCGTCGAGCTCATAAATTGGTAAAGGATCTACTACCTTTGATCGGGACGATGAAATAAGGACGGAACTATCACCCGTCCCGGCCTGCTGCAACCCATGTTCGTGATTTTTCATAATACGGCCTCGCCTTCTTTTAATCGTATTCGAAAAAGTCGCATTGTGCTGCCTTTGACTTGCAGTTTGTCGTGTGAAGGGGGTGGATAAAAAACGTATTGGCACGCTGAACGTGCAGTTCATTACTGGATTGTGGATTTTATGGATTTATGGTAAAAATCACTAGATTGGATTAAAACCAGTGAAAATATTTAAGAAAAATGACGCTGTCGTATTTGTGTTTGCCTCGTTAAAATTGTTAAGTAGTGGAAGGATTACAGACAATTTTTATTTTGAATAAAAATTCACAATACACTATGCTATAATGATATTTATTTATTTGTTTATAATGCTTAACAAAACTTCACCAAAATAAATAATGATAAAAGTGTTTGTTGCGAATGAAAAAGCTTTTATAATTTTCAACACGATTACAAGCAATGTGAAACTATGCGTACGTTTGTGTGACTATGACGGAGACGGTTAATCGAATATTTTATATTTATTTTATATTTATTATATTTATTTTGCCGGGGCTTGTATTCGCAGTTA